GAAGCGATATCTGGGCCCCTCGATGATTTTGTGTTGACCCATGTACCGGGCCCGGTCAGAACTAAATTGATGTGTTCAGTTAAGTTCTTTGTCAAACAAATCGGAAATCGAGAAACAACTGCTAGACAATAAGTAAGACATTGTTCCATGTATTTGTCCGGCTGATATCATGAGAGCAGAGGATTATATGATCACTTATCTAAAATGGCGCTTCATAGTTCACAAGAGTTTTCGAGAGCTACGATTGCCGGTTGGTTCCTGAAGTAATATAGGCAAATACAGTTATTAGACTTATCCAAGTGGGAGTCTGTTGGATAAGATGTCTAAGTCCATAACTTATTTGGTATATACTTGACCCGACCCGACATGGTCCATTTGGGTTGCACTTCACCCAAACTAGTTATGGATAATTTTATGAGAGTTGTATACTTACGATTTATTAATATATTATAAGTTATAATATATTAATATAAAGTCATGTTACTTAATTAGTTTTTAATCTTGAATTAATTTAGTGATTAAAAGGAAGACTAATTAAATCATGGGCTATTATATTTATATGGTGTGGGCTAACACTCATTTGGAATGGGCTAAGCTTATATGGAAGTCCATGGATGATCCATGGAGCTTTTACCCATGGATCCTTGGAAGAGGAAAAGACATGGGTTATTAGGGTTTCACCCTAACCATGTACACTATATAAACAAGCTTATGTTGCTTGAAAAACCCCCTTTATGTGTGTGTAAGTGTGGTGGCCAAAATCAAGAGTTAGTATACTCTCTCATACATTTTCCAAGTTTGTGGTGATTTGTGATTTCCATTTGAGGCATTCACATTATTGGTGCTTGGCTCTCAAACTCCAAGGAATCAACAATCAACAAAAGGTATGTAATTCATCTAGTTCTTTTATGGTTAAAAGTACCCCATGCATGCTAGATAGGTTATAAACCTTGGAAAATAATATTTTGCATGTATCTTAGACAAACATAGATCCAAGGTTTAATAGGGTTGCATGTACACTTAGGAAGTGTTAGAATGCTCAAAACCCAACACTTAGCCAAATACACAACACCATCCACGTGTCCCGGTTTCAGAAGCGTGTCGAAGACGAGGCCGCAGTTGTTTCTCTGGATGACATTCAGGTGGATGAGAGCCTGAATTACATTGAGAGGCCCGTTGCGATTCTGGATAGGAAGACCAAGGTCCTTCGTAACAAGGAAGTGAAGTTAGTGAAGGTGCAATGGCAGCACCAAACCAAGACCGGTTCACATGGTAATCCATTTAGCCAACAAGACTATGACCTTTCCAAGAGGTATATGTGAAGACTTACTAGTAAAAGGTGACAAGTTTGTTTTTCCCGCAGATTTTATTGTCTTAGATTTGGAGGAAGTCGAACAAGTCCCAATTATTCTTGGAAGGCCCTTCTTGAGCACCGCCCAAGCCTTAGTCGATATTAGAGAGTCCAAACTCACTCTCCGAGTTAGAGAAGAAGCGGTAACTTTTGGAGTTAATCGAGCAATCCAACATTCTAGGATAAGTGACGATACGACTTTCTCGGTCGATGTGTTTGAGGAATTACTTGGGAAAGAGCTTGGGGGATGGAAATAAAAAGAGACTGAGGGATATATGGTGCTCGAAGAAGGGGATTTTGATGTCGAACTTGATATACAAGAATTGGAGAATCTATTGGATGAAAGTGAGTACAATGAAGTGAAAAAAGAAGCAGAAGAAGAAACAGGACATGACATTGGCAACACGTCGTGGTCATCCAATGTTTCCCGATCAGACAATAAAATTGCAACAACACGACATGGCAGCAGGCCCACGTCGTGGTGACTGACGAAAAACCAAAAGTCGAGCTTAAAGCCTTTCCCGAACACCGGGAGTATGCATTCCTGGAAGAAGGACAACAAAAACCAGTAATCATAGCAGCCGATCTAGCAAAACATGAAAAAGAAAGGCTAGTGGAAGTACTAAAGAAAAGACAATGTGCCATAGCATGGAAGATTACCAACATCAAAGGAATTAGTCCCGCCTATTGTTCGCATAAAATCAACTTAGAAGAAGGGGCTAAACCAGTGGTGCAACGCCAAAGAAGACTAAACCCAAATATATAAGACGTTGTGAAGAAAGAGGTGCTAAAACATTTGGATGCCGACATCATATATTCAATATCCGATATGCCAAGGGTATGTTCGGTGCACGTGGTACCCAAGAAGGGAGGAATGCCGGTGGTTACCAACAAAGACAATGAGCTAATCCCAACTAGAACGGTGATCGGTTGGCATGTGTGCATCGATTGTTGTAAGCTAAATGATGCCACATGCAAAGATCATTTCCCTTTTCCATTTGTCGATCTAATGCTCGAAAGACTATCCGGTCACCTATACTATTGTTTCCTTGACGGTTTTTCAGGGTACTTTCAAATTCCTATTGACCCACAAGACAAAGAAAAAGACAACTTTCACTTGCCCAAGTGGAACTTTTGCATATAGGAGAATGTCGTTTGGATTATGCAACGCACCAGCCACATTCCAAAGATATATGATGGCCATCTTCCACGACATGATTGGAAAATTTATGGAGCTTTTCATGGATGACTTCTTGGTTTTCGGTTCCTCTTTTGAAGATTGCCTTTCTAACCTTGATCTAATGCTAACAAGATGTGAGATGACCAACTTAGTTTTAAATTTGGAGAAATGCCACTTCATGGTCAAATAAGGAGTTATATTAGGACACAAAGTCTCAAAACTATTGTGTTTACTGACCATTCTGCCCTTAAGTATCTTTTTGACAAACAAGATGCCAAACCAAGATTGATACGCTGGGTATTTCTTTTACAAGGATTTGACATTTAAATTAGAGACAAAAAGGGAATGGAGAATGTGGCAGCTGATCACTTATCAAGACAAGAAAACCCGCATTTGGAAGAATTGGAAGAAAACAAGATTGGAGATGATTTTCCGAAGAATATCTTATGGTTATAGTAGGAGAGGTACCTTGGTATGCGGACATAGCTAACTACTTAGCAAGTGACTATTTTCCAAAAGAGTTGACCCGACAACAAAAGAAGAAATTATTTTCAGAAGTCAAGTATTACTTTTGGGATGAGGCTTACCTCTTTAGAAGTTGCGCAGACGGGATGATAAGAAGATGTGTGTTCGGGAAGGAGAGTCAAGAGATCTTGAAACATTGCCATAGCGGGCCCACCGGAGGACAACATGGAGCACAATATATAGCCAAAAAGGTTTTTGATACTGGTTTCTATTGGACTATGATTTTTAAAGATGCTACTCAATTTGTTAAGGAGTGTGATTCATGCGAAAGGTCGGGAAACATTTCCTCCCGAAATGAGACGCCCCAAAATAGCATCCAAGTTTGTGAGATATTTGATGTTTGGGGGATTAACTTTATGGGACCTTTTCCAATGTCAAGAGGAAATAAGTACATATTGGTGCCGGTTGACTACGTGTCTAAATGGGCAGAGGCACAATCATTACCTACAAATGATGCTCGTGTAGTGGTGCATTTTCTTAAAAAGTTATTCTCAAGATTCGGTGTACCAAAACCTCTTGTCAGTGATCGGGGCAAGCACTTTGCAAATGATCAATTGGCAAAGGTTTTACAAAAATAAGGTGTACACCATAGATTTGCAACACCATATCATCCACAGACAAGTGGGAAAACAAAAGTAACAAACCGGGCACTTAAAAGAATTCTAGAAATATCGGTTGGAGGAATAAAAAAGGAGTGGTCGGAAAAGCTTAATGATGCACTTTGGGCATTTCGCACGGCCTTTAATAAACCTATTGGTACTACACCATATAGGTTAGTATATGGAAAAAATTGCCATTTGCCAGTGGAAATCGAACATAAAGCATTTTGGGCTTTGAAGATTTGTAAGTTTGAACTGGTCGAACTTCGTACCATCCGTTTGATGCAAATGGATGCCCTTGAAGAGCTTACAAAACGAAGCACATACTAGCTCCTTGAAGTACAAAGATAAAAACAAAGAAGTGGCATAGCGCGAGACTAAAAGAAAACAAGGATTTTCAGGAGGGACAAAAGGTTCTACTTTTCAATTCAAGATTAAAGCTTTTTCCGGGAAAACTACAAACTAGGTTGGATGGGCCATTCATTTTTAAACAAGTTTTCCCACATGGAGCTATTGAGTTGATATCAAGAGACGGAATTCCCTTTAAGGTTAATGGGCATAGAGTGAAGCATTATGAAGAAGGAATGCCAATTGAAGAAAAAGAGGGGGAAATCGTCAAATTCGCACAAGACGGATCGACGTAAGCAGGAAGGAGTTCGGCTCATGACTCCCCAAAAAGAAGCGATTGCAGGAGGCAACCTGTGGTTTTGAGTTTTCATTTTCTTTCCTTTTCTTTTATTTTCTTTATTTTTGCTTCATTTATGCTTGATTTTTGTTCTCATTCCTCTGAATTTTTATTTGGATTTCGAAGTGGGGAATAGCATAGAATGAGTGTGGGGTGAACATTTTTATAAAAATTTGACAAAAATGATATTATTTTTAAACCACGACGTGGTACATTTCAACACGCCATGGTGATTTTTCTGAAAACAAATCCATGATTTTTGATGCGACACCACGACGTGGTGATTTACCCACGACGTGTTGTCGGTTTTACTTCTGTCAAATTAGGGTTTTAATCTACATCAAAACCATTTCTTACTTTTCACCTCTCATTTCATCGATGTGCTATCAAGCCCCACGAATAACTTCCCTCCAACTTTCAATTTATTTGTTTATTCACGCAACGAGGTATGATTTTGACATCTTTTATTAGTTATACTCGAACTTATAGTAGTTATTTGTCTTCATTCACTGATTTGAACTAGATTTAGGGCCGATTTCATGAACTAGGGTTCCGATTTTTGCAAAAATCAGACCCAATTTTTGATGTTTTTGAGTTGCATTTGTTGTTAATATACTCGATTACATGCCCTAGTCAAACCATTGGCTTGATTACAATTGAATGTGCTTGGATTTTGGTTTGATTTTCATAGAGCACGCGACCAGTTCGTCGACCACGATGACTCGTCGTGGTCGTCGTCATGGTCAGTGATTTTTGGGCTTAATCTGTTTGTATTGATTTATAATCTCGAATATTGTTGCTTGGTTTGTTGTTTTTGTTATTTTGCAGATTATGGCTACCCGTTCTCGCCGAAACCAACCTTAGGGTCGCCCCGATTTCCCTTGGTTCAATTTCCCTGGGGTTGTGGGGCCCGAAGTCCTTGCACAATGAAATGGCAAGCTGGATTGGATGAAACAACGAAAGGTACATGTAGCCGCTGTTGTTGACTGGCATTGGATTGAGCAAACTGGGTTGTTGGAAGGAATTGAGCCGTTTTTGGATAAATCATTTGATGGACTACATGGAAGATTTATATGTATAGCGTGGAGAAGGCTTTTCCAAATTCAAGAGGTTGTGTATAAGGAGCTTGTAGTCGAGCTTTTAGCATCAGCCTCGTTCAGGAGGAAAATTGGTACACTAGAAGAAGCAAATCTTACTTTTGGCCTTGGAGGGGAAAGGCACGAGCTTAGCCTCGCTGACTTCATGATTAAGACGAAAATTTATCTCCCGTCCGAGGTACGTACCGAATCCTATCTCCATTACATTACCGGGTGCATCTGAACAGCTGATGGTTTCAAAGATAGTGAATATTAGGCAGCCATTGCAAATGGCACATACCAAAAGGGAACAACCCAAGAAAGCGATATCCGGTCCCCTCTACATGGCCTATTGCATCGGTCAATCATGAACACTATAAATCAAAGGCAAGAGGGGGACAAGGTCCCAGATTTTGTCACACCCATTGCATTAATAATATAGTTATTTATGTACAGTATCATAACAATGCATAATAGTAAAACAAGCAACAACATCCATTGCATTAATAATATAGTTAATACATGTGTGTTCTTTGTATAGTGGTATGACACCAAAAATCTAATATCAAAATAAAAGACGAGTCTTGAACATGCTCCGTCTTCTCAAAACCTGTGCCCGTGTACCTGTGTACTGGTTCCCTGAGAATACAAGTTATTTTGAAAGAGAGTATCAACATTTAAGTTGGCGAGTTCATAAGTATTTAGTGTCAAATGTTTGTATTTGTTTCCTGAAAATGTTAGTATACTTCCCAGAAAATCCTATATTTTCTACTTAAAATGAAAAGTAGTCTTATACCCAAGACCCAACTGTTTGTATGTTTTGTTCTCTTGAAATAATATTAATGTATGTTTGTACTTGAAATAGTATAACTGTATGTTTTCCATATTTGTAAACTATCTTTACTAGAAAAATAGTATGCCTTGTTCATGTGTTAACACTACTGTATGTAGGGAATGGAAGATAATATCTTTTAGTAGTTTTGTTTAAAATAAAACCATTGAATAAATGTTTGTCTTGTAAACCAAATGGTTTAGTTAATACTTAATGTGAATGAGGTTATAACCATGCTAATTTGACTAGTATAAAACACGACGTTCTTCAAGCGTAGAAAAAGTTATGACATTTGTCACCCGTAGACCTGTCGGTCTGAACTGTAGCTAAAAACAAGGTGTGGGATTGTCAGTCCCGTATAGATCTATACACAAACTCACGCTCTCCCTCCAGGAGACTCTGGTTATTAAACATGACTTAGCAAGAGTATTGCAAAGTACTATGAAGTAGTATATCACATTCTAGTTAACTTGTTTTCGTCTAGTATGTATATGATCCTTGTTCTTGTAAATGAGCAGTGTACTTTGTGATGAAAAGTAATAGTATGTATGTATTGATTCATGTATTGTTTCTCTGATCTAGAAAATAGTATGAATTGAGTCTCTAAACTATACCTAATATAGTTTACTAGTATGTTTGTACTGTAATGATTTGGAGAAAATGTAACACCCCAAATTTCAGAAGTTCAATGAAGGGCCAAAAGTGTAAATAAAAGAAGGGACTCGACGAGTAGGTATGCCTACTCGCCGAGTCGGAGCGGGATTTTGTCGCATGTTTAAGTGGTCAACTCGCCGAGTCGGCGGCTAGGACTCGACGAGTTGGTGCTGAAGAGAGAAAACCCTAATCTTAGGGTTTGCACCCTATATAAAGAACATTATATCCTTCCCTCAGCCCCCTTGCTACCCTGAGAGTTCCAGCAAACCCTAGTTCGTATGAAACACCATTGATTGAGGAGATTGGAGCTTGGAAGAAGATTTTGGTGTAAGAGGCTTGAGGAATTAGAGGCTAGCATCAAGGGGCTTGTGTAGATCTGGAATCTACATTAGTTTGGGCACATCTCAGAGGTAAGAAGCCTTTATCCTAAGCTATTTCCTTTTTGGATTCATCCATCGTGATTGATTTGGGGTCCCTTAGCTTGTTTGAGATCTATTTCGGGTTTAGAGGCTAGATTTGAGGTTGCAACTTCGGATCTAGGTTATATTTGAGCTATGAGAGCATAAAGCATCATCCTTTGGGTTTGTTTGAAAGGATCCTTGTCTCAAACGCAAGCCCTAGAGTGATTTGGACCTTTAAACCCTTGGTTTCACGTAAAGTTTGCAATTTTATGTGAGGGTTAGATTGTAGAAGGGTGGATCTATAGATTGGAGCCCCTGCATGGCTCGAAAAGCCTCTGAATGGATTGAGAACTGGAGAGACTCGGCGAGTCACATGGGTGTACTCGACGAGTTGTATGAACATGTGAATGGACTCGACGAGTTGGAAGAACAACTCGGCGAGTCTGTTGAAGATTGCCTTGGACTCGGCGAGTCTGTTCTTGGACTCGATGAGTCTGGTTGCGGAACCCTAACCTCTTCTGGTTAAGCCTCGAATCGGTGAGTCGAGGGACGACTCTGTGAGTTGAGCAGGATGGGACTCGGAGATCGTTGGACTCGCCGCGTCTTGGGGCGACTCGGCGAGTTGAGTCGTGTTATGGGAGTTTCTGAGTATAGGAACTCGACGAGTCGACGGGTCGACTCGGCGAGTAGAATCAACCAGGAAGGTTGACTTTGACTGAGGACTTTGACTTTGACCAAGAGTTGACCAGTTTGACTTCCAAGGGTATTTTGGTAATTTTGGTATTTATGGAATTGGTTCTTTGGTAGTGTTCTGTGGTGAAGTTCGTGTCGGTGGTCGGAGCAGCTTGGTCTTATCTCCTCAGTCGGCAATTGCAGGTGAGTTATCCTCACTATATCGACAGGGTCTACGGCACCAAGACCGGCCCTTTATCGGATGGAAATTCGGGTATTGTTTGATATGTTATTGCTTTGCTAGATCCGCATCCTGGTAGTTAGGATGGTGTTATGTTAGTGACCTGGTTAAGGTCGGTACCCGGTATATAGGGTAATGTTATGCTAGTGACCGGTTAGGTCGGAATCCTGGTTAGGATGTTGATATGCTATGTGATCTGTTAGACTGTTTGTCTGGTTAAGGATTGTTATGTGATTAATTGTTTTATGTGCACATGGTTGTTTGACAGGGGTTGGGTTGAGGCGGGTCCTGCTTTGTGTTGTAGGCCAACATACCCAGGGCGGACCGGAAAGACCGAAGGCCCAACGAGCGGTCCAGATAGGCTGAAGGCCCCAAGAGGGCGGACCAGACGTGCCGAGGCTTGGAGAGTGGACCAGGCCGACTGAAGGCCCGGTGTGGGCGGACCAGTCATACTGTAGACTCAGAGAGTGGACCAGGTGGATTGAAGGCCCGGTGCGGGCGGACCAATCACACTGTAGACTCGATGTACATGTCTAGACTCGGAGGGTGGACCCGGTGGACTGAAGGCCCGGTGCAGGCGGACCAGTCACACAGTAGACCCGATGTGCATGGCTGTTCTATTTGTGATATTTTATGAGTATGTTTATGTATGGTTGGTATTGTGGGGGTAACTCACTAAGCTTTCGGGCTTACAGTTCAGTGTATTGTTTCAGGTACTTCAGGAGATCGTGGTACGGCGAAGGCGTGATCGTACCGCTCCTCATGTTTTATGATTTCTGTGATGTGGTTCTGGGGGATACTCTGATGTTTAAACTATTTTGAAAACAAGGTGTATGAACTTAATGGTTTTTGAATGAATTAAAATGTTTTAATTGGCTCAAATTTTATGGGTGTTACAAGTTGGTATCAGAGCCTTGGTTTGAGTGAATTGGAGGAACATTCGTGTGAATCCAGTCTCAAATCAAGGAGGGATTTTCAAAATTTGTTTTCAAAAGGTTTTCGAAATAAGTAAAGGACGATGTAGAGGGTACGATCAGCCAGAGCCAGTAAGTAGACCCCAAAATACCATACAAGTTATTTGATTATGTGATATGTTAGAACAGCATGCTAGTACTAGGCTAGGGATCTTCAGGAAATTGCATGATAGAATTGCCTGATTACATGATGCCTGCTAGCCTAGGGTTTCCTTTATATATGAGATTGACATCATTACTGTAGTTACTTGTGTATGCATCACGACTGTGTATAATAAAGATCTTATAGCCTGAGAATGTTTGATTTGGCCTTATGTTCTGTTCTTGTTTGATTGGGAGCTTAGGGTAGGATTGGATATTCGAAAGTCTATAGGGTCCAGCGTCATGTATGGCTAGCATACACTAGTGCTGCAGGGTTGGTGGAAGTTTCATGGATGGATGGGTTGTGTGAGGCCGGGAGGCCAGTTATGAGATATTGAGCATTCGTTGTGTGATGTATATTATTAGGGTGTTGTGGTGATACTTGAGACAAATATGGGTAGGTGTGGAAGGTAGTATGGGCCCGTACTACTAAAAGCACAGGACCCATACGCGTGTCAAGGAAGTCACAACCCCTAGGTTGTTGGTTAGAGGTTAGTTCTCGGAGGTTATGCGAGGTGTCTAAGGGTCTCGTTGGTGTATTGCAGTATGGCGACTATGAGGCGTGTCGTGACTGGATCCGGATCGGGATCAGGACAGGGTGAGTAGGAGGCCCCAGTGGCACCTGAGATTATCGGCCAGGAGGGGCCAATGTTGACAGAGGACCGGGTCAGGGAGATCATCCGCGAGGAGGTAGTCGAGATTGTCCGGGGTCAGATCCCAGAGTTGTTTGGGACTATTAAGTCCGCTATGAGAGAGTACTTCGATGATCGTTATGCAGCTCTTACTGAGACGGCTGTCGCGGCAGCTACATCGGCTGTAACAGCGGCACGGGGAGGATCCGATCGAGGCTTTTAGTATCGGGACTTCGATAATACGAAGCCCCTACCTTTGATGGAGTTCAGGATCCTATCATTGCTATGAGATGGTTGTCAAACGTGGAGAGTTGTTTCTTCACGTGTTCATGCCCTGCGGATCAGAGGGTGAGGTGTGCTCTGAACCTTTTGAGGCTCGGTGCGAAGGATTGGTGGAGGTTGACTACGGGATCTTATTCTGATGCGCAGCGGGCTGCGGTTACTTGGGATCAGTTTCGGGAGGTGTTCAGCACTCGTTATGTTCCACGGGTTGAGACAGAGAGAGGTTGGCTCAGGAGTTCCTGGAGCTGAAGCAGGATTCAGAGTCGGTGACGGAGATCACCAGGATGTTTACTGAGAGGGCGATGTTTTGCCCAGAGTTTGCTTCGGAGCAGGCTCAGATGTCCCGATATATGAGTATGCTCAAGAGGGATATACGGCAGTTTGTGTCCACACAGAGATGTGATACCTTGTTGGAGTTGCAGGAGGCCGCCAGGCGGCGCGAGTTGGAGATTGAGTTGCAGTTGCGAGAGCAGAGGCAGGCCCCGGTGCAGTCGCAACCGGCGCCGAAACGGTCCAAAACCGTTGACTTTAGGGTTGGAGGT